TCTTTGAGTTCCATCACGCTCTCCCCGCTCTGGGTAGGCCAGGCTGGCCTCGAACTCACAGAGATCCGCCTGCCTCTGCCTCCCGAGTGCTGGGATTAAAGGCGTGCGCCACCAACGCCCGGCTTAACTCTTTAACTTTACCTTCTGTCCCTAGTCTAAATATCTGTCCCAGCGGATTTCCAATCAGTAGGAGACAACAAATGGCCTCAGCCCCAGATGTTCCTTTGGAATCTGCATCCCAGGCAGCTCCAAAGTAGCTAGCCCCAAGTGGTCTAGCCTCACAGACTGTTCCAACTCAACTTGCAATTCCCTAGCCCCAGATGGTCCCACAGAGCTTAGACAGTGGGTGAAACAGTCAGCACCCCCTCTCTCTTTTCCTGGCCTTGACCAGCATTCCAGCTTTCTTGGGTCCCCAACAATGACACCTCAATGTTATCAGGAAGTAGTCATAGAAATGATTATGTCACTCCTTATCATTTATTATCAACAAAAGGGCTGGGATGTTAGGCCTCAAACCCAGGAAAAAGTAACTGAGGTGCTTATTAAGATATCAAAGTGTATTCTGGATTCCAGGTTCTCCTAGCATCCCTCAGTACCGATCTGTTGCAGAGTCCTCTGGCTGGCTACCCAACCCCGTATTCTATACTTTTGTAGCCTAGGAACTGGGTTACCCTTCCCCTAGCTGCTCTTCCTTATATAATCCAGATATTTTGGCTACGCCAACTCTGTTTTGATCTTTTGATTTTTGGTCTCCTGGTTTCCATACTTTCCCCACTCCCTTCTCCTCACATGGCCCTGCTCAGAGCCATGTTAACTCTGGGCCCTTCTAGATGCATTTGGCTATATGCTTCCTTTTATCTACAATAAACCTTTTCCACCACCATACCTAGGAACATCATTTCCTCCTTTTTATTTCTTTTTTCATTCATTTTCAGATCTAACAACTACAGGGCCAAGTATCAGACTAGGAGCTGTCCCTTCCCATGCTCCAAAGTACCTTGAAAATAGAAAATTGAGGATTACTATGGAAGTCATCATACGAGGGCTGCTGAGAGTGGTAAAGCTTCGATCTCCTGCACTGCCAGGAAAAAGGAAACCAAGCTCCTTCTACAAAGCCAGTGTAATCATGATACTTAACCAGATAAAAGCACAAGGAAACTACAAATTTAGCTTCCTGAAGAATATGGATGTAAAATTTCTTCACAATATACTTGGAAATTGAATTCAAGATCACAATTGAATGAAAATGAGGATATGACAGCTGTTTGGTATTGTTTAGGAGAAGGTCGTATTGTAGATATGAGAGAGAACACAGTGACATCTAGAAGGGTCCAGAATAAACCAGACGACAAGAAGAGGGAGAACGAGAGAGGAAGAGAAAAGAGGAAGCAATGAGCACATGGGACCCAAGAGTACCAAACGGCCAAGAGTGGAGCCAAGAGCAGAATCAAGGGTGTAGCCAAAATGTTTGAGTTATTTAGGGATAAGAGGCTGGAGGAAGGGACACCCAGTCTCTGGGCTGAAGAAGTTTAGGGTAGTGGGTGGGATGATGTTAGGTTTTTAATTGCTTTGAAGGGACACCATGACAACGACAACTCTTAATAAAGGAAAACATTTAATTGTGGTGACTCACTTATACTTCAGAGATTCAGTCTATCATGATGGGGTACATGGTGGCATGTAGACAGATGTACTGGAGCTGCGAGCCCTACATCTTGATTCAGAGGCAATAGGAAGTCAACTGACATACTGGGCAATATCCTGAGTATATGCAGCCTCAAAGCCTGCCCCAACAGTGACACACTTCCCTCCAACAAGGCCACACCTCCTAATAGAGTCACTCTGTATGAGATTATGGGATTATGGGGGGCCAATTACATTCCAACTACCATAGGTGAGAAGTGCTGAGAGGAGCTGAAGGCACTGAGTGAGACTTCTCGGTTTCTTTGTGACCTGAAAACAATAACAAAATAAGAAGTCATAACCAAGATAGTTTTATCCCAGGGACACAAGAAGAACACAGACGTAACATTTCTTCAGAAAATACTTGAAAATTGAATTCAAGATCACAAGAAGACTATTTTAATAGTTAGGGTTCTTTAAACAGAATCAACAGAATGTATACTAAGGGAATTCACTAGAATTACATGACAGGCGTTGGGGAATGTAACAGTGGCTATACTAAAAACACTAAGAATCTGGCAGTTGCTCAGTTCACAAAACTGGATACCTCAATGTTCATGATTTGGTGCTAAAGGCCTGGAAAATTTTTAGAAAGTTGATGATGTTTAGTCCATGTTGGAAGGTGTCAGAACTAGAGTCTGATGTTTGCAAAGGCTACACACACACCCCAATGAGAAAGCAAAGGCAGACAGACACGAAACACTGGTTTATCCTCAGACCTCTTTCATCTAGGGCACCTATTGGAAGATACTGGCCACTCTGAGAGAGGGCCATGCCCCATTAAGCTTTTTTATAAATTCCCTTGCAGACCCCAGAGGCCTGTTTTTGGTTGATTCCAGATCCTATCAAGTTTACAATCAAGATAACCCAAACAAATTTACCTCTTGCCTAACTGAAACCAAATCACATCTACTTGTGTCATGCTTAATTTCCAAACATCATAGAACCATCCATTTTCAACTGAAAGTGCGTTAATTCTCTCAGAATAAATGACAAAATCCCCGATGAATCTTTTAATTCTTTTAATATACCATACCTTAAATATGATACATAGGTTTAACAGCACTCAAGTATGAATACTATCTCAATTAATGCTGTACTACAAGGTAAAGTAAAGAGAGAAATACATATATCAGCTTAAATGAAATATATATATATCAGCTTAAACGACTGATTTTTTTTTCTGGAGCTGAGGACCAAACCCAGGACTTTACGCTTTCTAGGCAAGCATTCTACCACTGAGCTAAATCCCCAACCCCTTAAATGATTTTTATATGAGCAAACATATTCCTCCCCCCTCTCCCCCGTTTTTGTTTTTTAAGGCTTCCTCTGTGTAGTCCTGGCCATCCTGGAACTCGCTTTGTAGACCAGGCTGGCCACAAACTCAGAGATTCACCTGCCTCTGCCTCCTGAGTGCTGGAAACAAACCTGTGTGCAACCACTGCCCAGCTGAGCAAACATATTCTTAACAAAATAGATTAAAAACACTCATGGCAATTGAAGTCTTCATCTCTGTAACTTGTCAGTTATTTATAGCTGATATTCATAATTACCTTCTTCTATTACCAATTCTATATTATCTTCACCTCAACACATTTTGGCTCTTTATCTGTAAGGGTGACACATAACTTCATTACTGAAAAATCTGGACCATTTATTATCTTGCCTGGATAGGGTTGTTTTAATTCCCTTTTACCTTAATCTCAGGACACGGTAATACCAGGAAACTCTCTAAAGGATCCCCACATCAGAATACTTTTTTTAATCATTCAGTTATAGGGTATGTCCCATGACACCATAAGTTTGTGCTTGGGGCTAGAAGGCATTGTAGCAAGAGTTAGAACAACAGGCATTTGAGACACTTCTTCAAGTAACTTATTTGTGCCTTCAGGATGTGCTCAGGCCTGATCACATATATTGTGGAGGCCCGCAAAAGTTTCCTAGTGAGATCTTAGATCGCTTTACCCAACAGGGCTGCATTAGAGAATTGTTTGACCACATGTGTAATTACCAGGTGATTGGAAAAGGTCTGCACTTTGCTGTACTTGGGGGAGGTCTTTTGCTCCACCCCTTAGTATTTCTATAAAAAGCCCTTTAGAAGAGACAGAAAGGGCCAGTGGATAATGATCCAGGCCCTCCAGAGGCTATCCTTTGTTTCTATCTGTTTCTCTCCCCTCTATCCTTCTATCTAAATATTTTTCACTTCTCCCTCCTCAAGAGTACCGTGGGGAAAAAGTGGGAGTGGGCCTCCCACAGAGAAACGGGGAGGTCCTTCACAATATATACCACTTCAATTTGATGAAGAATTACTGCTGTGCACATTTAACTTTATGATATGGTGGGTCAGATAACACCTGCCTCATGATGGGAAGTGCAGGCTGTATAGAATTTGTGTCAAGCATTCAGTTTATACTACTGGTAAGAGCTGTCTCTAAATGGCAGTAGTGTCTTATTCCAAAATCCCAGGGGTCTCAGCTGTGGTTCACATGCAGAGCCATTCAAATGTTCTAAACAGTGCCCTATCTGCCTCAGATAACCTCAAGTTCCATCGGTTCTGCTGAATCATATGGCCCAAGTGGCACAACTTGTATAGTAGTCCTGTTCTGGACCCAACTCAAAACTAGTATCTTGTGCTCACATCAGCAGCACATATACTAAAATTGGAATGACATAGAGATTAGCACGGCCCCAAAACAAGGATGACATGCATATATGTGAAGTGTTCATATTTTTAAACATTTCCATCTCTCTTAGATAAATCTCATTTTACTTTTGTTTCATAAAATCAATTTGTTGATTGGTTTCCTTTATGTATAAATAAACCAGAATGACAAGGAATGCTTTGAGTTATTCTCTGTCAATACATTTTCAGCTTCTTCAGAAAGATTTCATTCTTAAAATGTGACATAGTTTAAGGAGAAGATTGATGGTTAGTAAAGTTTATTTTGCTACTTATATTAATTATTTGTTCATTTGTTGGATTTATGTGTTCATATATGTATTCAACAATTAATTAATACAATAAATTATTTTTAATCTAGGCACTTTACCAAGAACTGACAATATAAAAAAATAAAAATTTAAACTCTGATGTTAAATATATATAATTCTTCCCTCTGCATTATTCTGGCTTAATATATCATGGTTGATTTCCTGGTGCTGACAATAAGAAAAATGTGGCCATGGTTTTTATTATAAATTGTATATCTGTAACATTAATTAATTAACTCTATTAATTAGCTCACTATAAGAATTAATATAAATTCTTCAAAGTTCCCAATGTGGTGTTGTCCTATTTAATTGGGATTGTCTGTGTCCTTTTGAAAAAGTACTACCACCACCATGTTCAATACCTATGTTTGTCTAAGGGGAAAGAAGGGAAATTGATTGGATGTTTAAATTAAAAATTTGAACATAGACTATATTAACAAATATTTAAAGAAATTCTAATATATTCCTCAGTCAATTGGTATAATGACTGGAATAACACACTTAAATGAGGAATGTATTGCTTCCAAAACCAAATAGTCCACTAAGCATTTGTGCTTATTTCTTGGTGGCAGGATTGGCCAAGTGCTACAACTTATCCTCCACTTTAAAAGAAACAACTTTGCATGTCCTTCACAATTGGACTCCTATAAGTTTTTCTGAGGAAAAAGGCCCTTGAATTTGATTGCTTTTATTTTTTATCCTTTGTTGAATATACTTTGCCAACACGCTCAGGGTGATTGCTACCTCTTGCTCACTTGGTCCAGTATAATGTCATTATGTAATGTAATGACTCATTATACTTTGTGAAGGAGAATGGTGATCAAGATCCCTTGCAAACCAAGCTATGACACAGCTGAAGTATTACTATACTTTAAAGTAGAACTGTAAATGTGTAGTGCTGGCCTTGACAGCTGAAAGAAAATTGCTTCTTATGGCCCTTATGGGTAGGTATAAAGAAAATAAAGCATTTTTTTTATATCAACAGCTGCATACAAGGTAGCAGAGATTTGTTAATATGCTCAGGTAAGGGAATTACATCCAGCACCACAACCACAATTGGAGTCACTACTTGACTAAGTTGTGACAGTCAGCTGTCATTCTTTGTGATTCATCTGTCTTCTTCACAGGGAAAATAGGAAAGTTAAAGAAAAATGTGGAAAGAATAATGACCCCTAAATCTTTTCAGGCCCTTGATGGTGGCACTAATTTCCTCATCCCTCTAGAGGATGTGATATTTGAAAGGTTTCTGTACCCTGATATTGTCTCTCTACTGATGCAACAATCCAAATTAAGCTGAAGTTTATTGGACAAAACATTCCCAGGTGATCTTCCCAGCCCCCAGAGATGTGACCAGGAGAGGAGACTAGGAAAAAGCACATGGTGATTCTCCAGAAGGCAGTTTAAATATGCTGTAAGTAGCTCTGGGGGAAGAGACACAGCTTGGCTTGCTTTCTGTGGGCAGGATCTGGAGAGAGAGGTGGGAACAAAATGGAGCTCCCAGATAAGCACTATTTTCCCCTAGCAGGAACAGTACTTACTATGGCTTCCATTTGGCCTTTCTAACAATAATAGCTGTCACAGTAAACATCAATGAAACAGTGTGAAGTTTCTTTCAACTCAGAAGTATATATTTATCCAAAACTGTGCATTATAGGAGTGTAAAATAACCATAAGATGAGTTGGGGGACCAAAAAGACCCACCTTGCACTTAAACTTTGACCAAGTCACTGATGTCTAATAAAAAGGTCTGTTCATTTCCTTTTCTCTAACTTGCAGTTATACTGTCGATAGACAAAGGCAGAGGTCCCTTAGAGGAAGGACAAGAAAAAGCATAATAGTAATACTTTTTGGTATTGTAGCAAGGTTTTTCTTCAAGGGGATCTGTCCTTCTGTTTCTTCAAGGCATTTTGGACCTTTGGAGTGAACTGGCTCACATCTTAAAATCATTTGATGGCCCATGATTCTCTGTTGCCATGATTCAAAATAGGCTTTTGTTCATTTGGTCTAGACTGTTTCTTATTTTACAAATCAAGCAAGAACTTAACAAGCTTTCTACCTGAAAGCCATGATTAATTAAGCAGTGTCAAAGTCTGCAGAGTCAGACATTATGAACACTAGTCTCAGTGTTTACTAAGGCAAATGTGATGTGCTTACCCTGCTTTTGGTGACAGAGCACTTCTGTCTCGCTCTTGCTACTTCAGGATCCAATTAACAATCATGTGCTTAAGTTGCTCATCTTAGCCTCTGTGGCACTGAAATAGTAAGGCCCACTGTACAGGGAAGAACAATGACAGACCTTGAGAAAAGACAATAAACTAGATTAATTCTTAAGGCTTATTCAAATTTACTATCCAATGGAAGTACAGGATGTTGGACTGGAGACTACAGCATCAAGATTACCCTGTGAGGCAACTATTCCCTGACACAGAGCCTGCCAGCACCCGACTAGACTAAGAGGTGAGTCTTTATCCTCATACCTGAACACCCCAGCCCCTAGGCTTTGGGTCCAGGGACACAACCCTGTGCCCCTACACCACCACCCACTGAAGTTCCAGTTTCAGGCCAGTTGGCAGGCAGACCTGCACACAGGTCAGATCACCACCATCCCCCATCAGACCCTATAACCAAAGCCACACCTCCCCCAAATCCCACCCACCCTTGGAGACTGCAACTGTTCCCTGAGACAGAGCCCGCTAGCACCTGATTGGACTAAGAGTCCCAGTTTCAGGCTAGTTGGCAGACAGACCTCCTGCAGACAGGTCAGATTACCACCATCTACCACACGCTAAGACAGTGGCTACTCTCTGAGAGAGAACCCACTAGTGCCAGTTGGACTAAGAACTGCTCCCTGAGACAAAGATTCCATCATTATTGACTAGACCAAGAGCTCCCACTGGATCAAGAGTATCAGTCAAACCAAGAGAAGCTCCCTGAGACACAGACACCCTTTGCACCAAGTGGAAAAAGAGATGGGTAGACGCCAGTGTAAAAATACAGTCAACAACATAAAAACCAATATGGATCCTTCAGAACCTACATCAGCAAGACCTGAACATTCCAACACAGAAGAAACAGAAGATATCTGCCATAAAACGACTTTAAGAAGATATTAGAGATCTTAAAAGAGGAAATGAAAAATTCCCTCAAACAGATGGAGGAAAAGTCAAACAAAAAAATGGGAAGAAATCACTAAATCCCTTGAAAGCCAAGAGAAAGCAATTAAACAAGTGAGGGAAACAGTTCAAGATTTCAAAGCTGAAATGGAGACAATAAAGAAGACACAAACTGAGGTAATGCTGGAAGTGGAAAATCTGAGTAAATGAACAGGAACTACAGATGCAACCAACAGAATACAAGAGATGGAAGACCGGATCTCTGGCACTGAAGATATGGTAGAGGAAATAGATTCATCAAAGAAAATATCAAAGCCAACAAAGTCATGACCCAAAATGTCGAGGAAATTTGGGACACCATGAAAAGACCAAACCTAAGAGTAATAGGGATAGAAGAAGGAGAAGAATACCAACTAAAAGGGACAGAAAATATATTCAACAAAATCATAGAAGAAAACTTTCCTAACCTAAAGAAAGAAATACCTATGAAGATACAAGAAGGTTACAGAACACCAAATAGACTGGATCAAAAAAAAAAAAAAAAAAAGTCCCCTCGCCACATAATAATCAAACCACTAAACATACAGAATAAAGAAAAAAATATTAAGAGAAGCAAAGGAAAGGGGCCAAGTAACATATAAAGGCAGACCCATAAGAATAACACCCAACTTCTCAAATGGAGACTCTAAAAGCCAGAAGGTCCTGAACAGATGTTATGCAGATACTAAGAGACCATGGATGCCAACCCAGACTATTATAACCAGCAAAACTCTCAATCAACATAGATGGAGTAAACAAAATATTCTATAATAAAACCAGATTTAAACAATATATCTCCACAAATCCAGCCCTACAGAAAGCACTTGAAGGAAAAATCCAACCTAAGAAAGTTAGATACACCCATGAAAATACAGGCAATAGATAGTCCCATACCAACAAATACCAAAGAAGGGCATCATACAACACTACCACCAAAAAATAACAGGAATTAACAATAACTGGTCATTAATATCCATCAGTATCAATGGTCTCAATTCACCTATAAAAAGACACAGGCTAACAGAATGGATACGAAAACAAGATCCATCCATTTGCTGCATATAAGAAACACACCTCAACTTCAAAGACAGACACTTCCTCAGAATAAAAGGCTGGGAAAAGACTTTCCAAGCAACTGCATTTAAGAAGCAAGCTGGTGTAGCTATCCTAATATCTAATAAACTAGACTTCAAACTAAAATCAATCAAAATATATTGGGAAGGACACTACATATTTATCACAGGGAAAATCTGACAAGATGAAGTCTCAATTCTGAATATTTATGCCCCAAATACAAGGGCACCGACATTCATAAAAAAACATCACTAAAGCTTAAGTTGCACATCAAACCCCATACACTAGTAGTGGGGGACTTCATCCCTACTTTCACCAATAGACAGGTCTGCCAGACAGAAACTTAACAGAGAAATAAGGGAACTAACAGACATTATGACTCAAATAGACTTAATAGATATCTACAGAATATTCTACCCTAACACAAAGGAATATGCCTTCTTTTCAGCACCCATGGAACCTTCTCCAAAATCGACCATATACTTGATCACAAAGAAAATCTCAACAGATACAAAAA